AGTGAAGATGAAATCTTACCCACAATGTTGTGCGGACTTGCGACTAACTCCAATGCTTGCGGCGCTTTACCCGGAAGTCCTTTGATTGCAAACAGTCAGTTGGTTGGTTTGGTTTCCTGGGGTTATGATTGTGGCAATAAGGGTAATCCAGCTGTCTTCACTGATATCTTATCTTTGGCAGCGTGGATCTTCAACTCGGCAAAGTCCTTGTACTATGGATATACTTTTATACTCTGAAGAGGGTATATTAAGTTTGTAACGAAGTTTGTAACACACAGGAGGAAGTGTCGGAGACCCTATAAAATATATATATAGTATAAATGATCAGTATGTCGAGCTGAGTCGATTTAGCCATGTCCGTTTGTCTGTCCKTCTGTCTGTCTGTATATATACGAAATAGTCCCTCAGTTTTTATTATTAAGRTATAATTTTGAAATTTTGCAAACGTCATTTTCTCTACAAGAAGCTGCACATTTGTCGGAACCGCCGATATCGGACCACTATAACACATAGCTTCCATACAAACTGAACGATCGGAATCAAGTTCTTGTATAGAAAACTTTCACATTTCACAATGTATTTTCTCAAAAGTTGGCACAGGCTATTTCCTAAAGCAACAAGAAATTGTTCAGATCGGTTAGCTATAGCATATAGCTGCCATACGAACTGAACAATYGGAATCAAGTTCTTGTATGGAAAACTTTCACATTTGACGAGTTATCTTCACGAAATTTGGCATGGATTACTGCTTAAGGTAACAACATAATATCCAAAAAAAATTGTTTACAACGAATTACTATAGCATATAGCTTCCATACAAAGTGAACACGTAGTCACTAACAGATATGCCCTGTGAAGCGTATTTAGCTTCGGTGCATGTTTCCATATAAAATTTAATTAAATACAATGAGGTTTTACCTAAAATAAATATTGTTTATAATTCATTTGTTACGTGATTCTTAATTCATTCAGCAAAAACTTATCAGCAAGTAATATGAGCTACATTTAACGGGGCAAAAGCTCAAAAAACGATTCCTTTGATATCATACCAAACAAACAACATAATGTTTTTTTGGTGACTATCGGCCTCGAAGTGGACTGAACTGGTTTATCCTTTTTAGACAATAATCTTTTGTGCTCTCTTATTTTTATAGAGATAACTCACATGTTGGCTGTTACATGCGGTATAAAGTCACCTGGAAGTTCGAAAATCGTTAGATAGGCATACATATGGGAGCTAAGGAAAGTATTGGCACGTCAACACATTTTTTAGTCCCTGAATTTCAATTACATATCTCACGAGTTGACCGATATTTGTGGTAAAAGTAAACTATGAACACTTTTATTCTAAAGGCATTATTCTTGCAAAGTTTTATCACGTTATATTAATTGATTAATGATTTGTACACTGGAAACGAGAAAGTCAGATGGGATTTAAAATTGAATTATAAGAACGCCACGTCCATCGTATCCTCGATTCCAATGAAGCTCGAAAGTTATAATGTTTGGTAAGTACAATATATATGGGTTAGAGAAAGTACTCACGCGATTTTAGGCATTTTTAGCACAAGATCACATTATTATCGGACTGAACTACATTTCGCGTAAAAAGTTAGTTATACGCATTTGGATTCCCATATTCAAGTTGYGGGGGCTTGAACAGTKATGGTTCGATTTTGACAATTTTTAGTCGAGAGATAGCGCACATTAAAGGAATTATTTGTGTAACATTTTATTCCGATAACTTCATTTATGCTTGAAAGTGTGATAAGTATGTATGTAGGAGGCGTTGTAGTCCGTTATATGGGGTATGGGTCTGGTTACCAAYCGATTTTATCATTTTTCACAGAGTGTGTACAAAAGACGATTTTGTTAGATTTGGTAGAGTCAATCCTAGTTTTTAACAATTTTCATCTACATAAGCTCCTCCATACTTCACTAGACCAAAAAACGGTTTTGTATCCTAATTTTTTGTAAGACTGTACCTACTTGTATTTAAAATTTTCCGCTTAACGGCATTTTGTGCGCGTGGCAATTATCCAAGAAAACACAATTTTTACTCAAGTTATCGCTAGCACAGACGGGCGAACATACAGTAAACAAAACGCTATTCATATTCTTGCATTATTAATAGCTTAGCTAGTTCCAGTTGAATTGATACACAAATTACGGTTTGAGTTATTATTTGCACAGTTGTATGCCGTTAGTTCGGAACAAGTGAGGAAAAATGCTTTTGTTTACTTGTGAAACGAAATCTCATTGTTAACTCCAGAAAAAATTTAACAAATATAATTAAAATTTGGTAACATAAGTTGCGGCCGCTAGTTCTATAWTAATAATATCTGTAATAAATAAGTTATTGGGGTGTGCCAAGCGGCGGCAGGCACAGGAAAACACTTTTACGCGCTGGCTAACGAATAACATTGTGTAACAAAAAAAMCCAGATTGATCATTTATATCGATGATATATGTATGGTAAATCTCCATCTTAAAACATCTTTGAAAAAATTGTATAGACTTTGAATTTTTTGCCATCAAAAATTGTATTGTATAATGGTGCTTTTGTTCTTCATTTTATTACTTTTTCTTCTTCTATTATTATAAGGAAATATTCCAAAAATAAGAAAAAACGTTAACGTCGGTTGCACCGAAGCTAAATACCCTTCACAGGTGCATTTCTGTTAGTAACTATGTGTTCAGTTTGTATGGAAGCTATATGCAATAGTAATCCGATCGGATTGTTACCTTAAAAAATAATCTATACGAAATTTCGTGAATATATCTTGTGAAATGTGAAAGTTTTCCATACAAGAACTTGATTCCGATTTTTCAGTTTGTATGGCAGCTATATGTTATAGTGGTCCGATACCGGTAGTTAAGAAATGATTAGAGACAAAATTTACAACCTTTATTATGAAAAGTGACTCATATATTGGGTGGTCGAAAAAGTCCTTTCGCATTTTGTCAATCGATGATGTACCAGTCGTATATCTTCAATGCTACCAATCACATTGTGTCATATCATATAGTATTTTAAAGACGAGAATTTAAGTTGTTCAAAAATGAGTGAAAATAATGAAGAAATTGGGTATAAGTATTATGAAATGTTTGTATAAAAAAGGGAAGAGTGCTACGCAAGCCACAAATTCGTCTAGCACAACAATAGTTCGCTCGCTTTCATTCTGGAAATTTCGATTTACACTGATGGAATAAAAATTACAAAAAGTGGTCGACCAAAATGAAGCATATTTGTTCTTTGTATAAATATAAAAAAAATAAGTTCAAGTTTGATTAGACGTAGTACGAATGTATGTAGCTCTTATTCTACTGCGAAATTTAACTTATTTTTCCATTTATAATAAAATAAAAAATTATATTGTTTAATCTTTTAGTAATTTTAACAGATAACGCTATAATTGCTTACCGATTGAGTTAAACTCTATCTCCCTCTCTCCCTTCGGCAGACCAAATAAACAATGCTTAGAAGCGCGTATATAAGGGCATGAAAATATGAATAGTTTATAGTTGAAATTTCGACATCCAAGAAA